TGGGAGCGGGCAGGCAAAGGCTGCCCTATGGACAAAACAGCCGTGCAAACACAGGGAGAGCATAACACACGTCGGCAGAGCATAAACCAGTAATATCGGCACGGTGGCTGTTCAGATTTACAGGCTTTTAACCTGCTGCTGCTCAGGGCCTCCTTAGCAACAACAGATCAAATGGGGGGGCGGGAAGGGAGGTTTTTGAGCTGCTGTTGCCTTTAAGCTGTCACAATTCGGTATGTTCAGAGCGTTGGAAAGCATTTGGGCTTTACATGCAGAGTTTTGAAGCCTGTGATTAGTTGTACCTTAATTTTAAGGGAAATCGGATGGCTGAGTAAGAAGTGGTCGTTCAGAAGATTGACGATCGTGGCTGAGGATTTCAGCGTGTCTAAAGAAATGGAGTTGGTACAGAAGCTGTGGCGGTCTGCGATGGAGAACATGTACAGCAACTCAAATGTGGGTCTGGGTTATAACTTTTAATAGCTTTCATAAAGATACTCCTTCCATAACTCTTGGAATATCACACCCCAGTTTATTTAAATGCAATTTCAAAACTTTGGGAGGCAGGAGATTGGCACTCCTGGATTTTTAAGTGAGCATTGAGAAGCCAGTAGGAAGGGTTGTCCTCCCATGCCTCCAGCAACCAAGAAAAAGGGAAGCCTGTACTACATTTCTATGTTTTTGTGCTGTAAGCTTTTGAGATAGTAAAATGGCATTTTAATGAAATGATTGTGCTGCTCTAAAAAGAACTAAAACTACAATGCATATTTCCTTAAGGAACGGGAAATGTCTCTACTACAGTAAAATTTCAGTGCATAGATATGACTGCCTCTGTAAAAAGCTGAGTAGTTTCTACCAGTGACACTAGAATTAAATTCCTAAACAACTTTGTCATACCGGCGTGTCTGCACTGTACTTACGCTGAATAAATAAGCAGGTTGCAGGTGTCACTGAGGCATGGAAAAATGAAAAATAATCTTTAAATGTTACAGTATTTTTTTTCTTTATAAATACAGTTCTCTAGATCACAATCATAGTTGTTGAGACCCCACTAAAATCTCTGCAGCTAAACTGATTCAGTTTTTCATTTGTTTTCAGGTTTTTTGGCGTTTTGTTCGTTTACCTTTTGATGGAACTAGGAATTTCAAGATAAACATGTCTGTTAGTAGAATTTTATTTGCTGTGAAGCTATCTAAATTTGCAGTAAGTCCTTATGCTTTTGAAATACGGAGGCAACAGCTCCCCTCTGTCCAGGCTGCAAACTTACAAAAAGATGGTACCTGTAGTTCACTAAAGTAGCAGTGATCTTTAAAAGTTACCTATGATGAGATAAAAACAATCTAAAATACTTTTCTTTCATTCACAGGTTGCTGCATTTAAGAATTCTCGTCTTGGCCGGTACTTAGATGACCGTCCTTTCATTGCTCTAACACTCCTGGTGTTCGTTGCAGTGTCTGCTGTTCCTGTTGCCTTTTTCCTCATTTTTGTTATTACAACAGCCATAATGTCCTGTATCAGTGTGATGGTCATGGAAGGTATAGTATCCATGCATGTATGTACTTACTTCCTTTTAAGGCATGATGTCTTTTCTTTTTTTTCTTCTTCCTTCTGAAATTCCCAGTTCAAACAACTGGGGATTTCTCTACGTAGTCCTTAGGTCTCAGCAATAGTGAAACTCTTAATAGTAATGATAATAGTAATCTGATTAAGTGTAGCCTATACAAGGGAAATCCTATTTCCCTGTCTCATCTCAGCCACCAGGATACACCTAAACCAGTTATCTTGACCCTGCCTAGCTTTTATAGAGGCTAGCTAGTTGATTGCAGAAGACTATTTTCCCAAATGGTTTGGAATTGGGGTTGTGGTAGAATGTCAGGTCTTGTATATAATTTACGTGTATACAAACTTGTTTAAGTAACAGAATTATTTTCTTCCATTAGGTTTTGTAATAACTGTAGGTGGCATATTCCTCCTTTTTGTGCTGTTTGGCCTGGGTGCACTTTCAGTGGGAGTTTCAGGAATACTGAGTGGTGCTTACATGGTTATTTCAACTCTGGTCAACCGCCGGTACTCTTCAAAGTGAGTATTGATCTTGCTTTATGCTTGGATTTCAAAACTCTGCAATTGAACTATTGCATTGATCACTTCATTTATTCTAAGTGAGCTACTGTTGCTTAGTTTAACAAGTGTTTCTTGAATGCTAGAGCAGGTAATATCTGCTCTTTTTATGTTCCTATTTGAGAGAAACTCTGGTAGACTTGCAGTGGATGTTCAAGTAGTCTCAGACAGGTTTACATCTCACATCGCTGAGCTTTTTTGAGCAAAATGTCAGAAGACAATAGACTTACAGAAGAGGAGATTGTAAAAGCTTTCCTCCTTTATACAGGGGTCCAGGAAAGAGAGAAGAAGCTAGCAGAAGTTCATTACAGAAGAGCGCTCCTGCATTGGATCTTTATGCCAGTAATGGAAAATGAGTAAGTGGGTTTCTCCCCACTTCCTTCATAGGCGCTTAACTATAGTACTATGACTTTGCAATATAATTGTTTACTTGTTGCGCGTTCAGCCTTTGTGCACTCCTTATGGGAACTCAAGAAAACCAACATGCATCTTATATTATCTCTGCAAATCTAATATTAAGAATAACCATAAAGCAGCAGTGCATTGCATTATTGAGTTTACATGCACAATGCAACGTTCCACAGAATTTGGTAAAGGGATGTAATAATAACTGCTTACTGCCAAGTCACTGAAAGAAAGGGCAGGTGGGTATCTGACTTGTGATTTGCTACTGAAGTTCTGGATGTATTGTCTTTTGAAATGCATCTGCAGTGATTATTTGATACATAAATGGCAAAGCTCAGAACACCAGAAATGTGTTTTGAATGTTAAAAAATATTTTTTAAGCCTTAACAGCCTTTGTTAAAATAGTATGAGTGTACCATGCTAATGCTTTGTATTTATTATGTGAGGAAAATCGAGTTTTATCATATGTTAAGTCATGGTATAAGCTTTTATATACCTTTAGGTGTTGCATTATTCTGAAGGGATATTTTCCTTGTTCTCATTGCCTCATCACATCTATGTATGTGGTTAGGACTTGCATTTTGTGATACTCATTTAGGTATTTAAATTGCCTGTCCTGCTTCTCAGTTGGGAGTTCTTGTATGTTACTCAAAACTTTATTTTTTGCAAATGCTATAATATTTTTAAGCGTTAAGAAAGTATCTCAGTTTAATAAAGTCTTGTTTGTTTAACCAGGTTGTCTCATTTAGATTAAAAATTTCTTCAGATCTACTTCTGGGAAGGCTACATTTGGAGATGAATTTTTCTCCTTGGTTACTGTTAAAGTATTTTGGCTTGCCAATGTTGCTAAGCCACAAACTGCAGGTTACTCCCCTTCTCATGCCTGTAAAGGAAATGCAGAATCCTAAGGATTAAATTAGTGTTTAACTCCTCAAATGGGACCTGAGAATAGTCTATGAAGGGCTCTGGTTTTTACAGAACTCCAGTTAAACGTGAAGGATTTACAGAATAGAGACTCTAAGAGATTTCTTTCATATAACATATTCATAAAATTCATAAATATATTAATAAAATTGTAGTAGATATTTAGGAAATTAAATGTTTGAGGTTTTCAGTGCATCAAAGCTGTATCTTAACCAGAATTTTTTAGCTGCCCTTTGATAGCATAGAAGTGATATGAAGGAAAAAATAAACAGGAAGAGTACTTTGTCTTCTTTCCTTATAAGGAAAGCTAATGCCATGATACTGTTCACATGACCTACAGTGTGGAGACCCACTTGAAATACAAACCAAAGATTTAAAATTAATATATGTACATAGTTTTTTGTATTACTGGTATCTCCATTTTAGGATCAGACCTGCAGAAAAATAGAATGCTGTTCGTGCCAGTTGTGTGGTGCTGCACCGTGATGTGTGTCACAGCCATAGGTAGAACCTAGAAGTAAATTGCAGAGTGCATGGCCCAGACTGCAAAAAATCCAAAGATACTGGTGTTTGCAAACAACAAGACTCCCAGGTAGATAGCTCGTCATGGGCTCTGACATGAAGGAGATGTCTTGCACTGGCTGGGAAATGGAATACATTATCTCTGGTGCAAATAGACTGGTGCCTGCTTTTAGAGAGCTGCAAAGTACTGAAATAGGAACTATCCTTAACACTGGCAAAAAGTGAGCCTTGAAATAGGGTCATTTCAGAATCCTTCACCTAATCACTGACCCCCATCATAGGATACAGTCCGAGTCTAATTTTACTTTCCAAGTCTTACTTGTTCTAGGCAGTAATACCTTCAGTCTAGGAGTTTGCTAGCTGCTAGAAGCAGACTAGTAGTTATGAGGGAAATAAGGCAGAAAGTAATGTGACTTGATTATAACACAGTCAATACCTCATTTAATGTGTTTTGCCTGTTCCACATGCTGAACTGCTATAATTTCAAATACGCCTTGAAAGCAAATCCCTTGTTTGTCTTCTCTTCTGTCAGTCTGCCTAAAACATATACATAACTATTACTGTCCTTGAGACTTCAAAATTAATTGAAATGGAAAAAGCTCTTCACAGGAGGGAAATAATTGCATTGTTTATCATCCGTGCTGCAACTTACCAGGCACAGCCAGAAAATACTAGCTCTCTGCATAGTTACTCACACAGCTTATACCTTTTAACTTTTAAGATGACCTTGCTTCAAAATCCAAAGAGATTAACCCAAATCTCTACTTCTAACTTTAAGAAAACATGGTTCATTACAGAATTATATGTATGGAGATACATAATTTAAGCTAAGTGTGCTCTCAGTGCTGGCTACCCATCATTTTGCTTAGAGGATTTTATTTACTTTCAGGTCACACCTGCCTTGCCAAAGCACAAGGTCATTGCTTAGTCTATCAGTAGATCCTGATCACTGCCTTTAGCACTAAAAGGAAATACACTTGCAGGGCGAGCAGAATTTCCTTTGCTGCCGTGCAAGTGTCCTTCTTTTGCTACCATCTCGGTGACAGGTGCCACCTCATTACATCCTGCCATCACTTTTGGAGGTAGTGGCACAGAGAGCAGAGAAGCTGCTTCTTAACCCACATTAACAGCTTCTTCTGATGCTTGGAGCAGTAGTTTTCTGAGCAGCCCCACCAGTCACCAAAGAATTAGCAACCTTTATTCTTTCAACATAAAACCGCAAAAATTTCTTCATTACATCTAATCTAAATCTACCTTGGTTCAGTTTGAAACAGTTACCTCTGATCCTAATAAAGAGTCCCTCTGCTTCCTTCCTGAAGCCCTCCCCTTAACATGCCAGAAGGCTGCCATGAGGTGTCCCCAGTTGTCCAGTAAATATTCCCAAATATATTGAAATTAACAATAAACCACACTAATTTGTTCCCAGTCACTGACAGTTCTGTTTCTTCTTGTTACACAAGATAAACAGTAGCTGTCACAAAGTCACCAAGCTTCTCCACAAAGTAATGATTAGATCCTATCTACACTAAAAACCCCCCACCCACAAAAAAAAAGAAGTTTCTTATCATTACCAGTGTATTGCATGCCTGCATATCACATGGTATTTCTTCAGCTGGCAGCAGGACTTCAGCAAACACACATTTTAAAGAATATTGCTCAGGTTTAAAACCTGATTAAAGGCGCCTTGGTTTTCATGTGCCTGAGTTTTGAAAGGATTTGACAGTAGCAACCACTAAGAATCATTCTCTGACAATCAAGCCTCTGTTGCATGTGGCAACCAAAAGTCATTGGTCTTTAGTTTTAAAACACTATTAATCTACTAATAGCAGGCACTTAAATACAGAAAAAGCAAGGGTTCTGCACACTACCATTTTAAAATAACATTTACCTCTGTGGTAGATCAAATAAAAGCTGCTTAAAAAGTGCTTTTGTATTTTAAGATATCATGAAGGGAAGACTAAATTCTTTATCAAGAACACTCAGTTGCTAGAACACACAACCTACTTTATTTTTCAAAAACTGAAAGTTAAGCTTCATCAATAGCTTGATTTATTCCTGCTCCTATAAAGTAACCAAACAAACATCAACACTGCAAATGAAGAAACATACCTATGATTATTTATATGTAGTGTAATTTTATATGCAGTCAGTGATGTGGGTGCTCTTTATCTCCACATCTTTAGATTTCCAGGAGCAGGGTTTTTTTAAATGGCATGATAATCCAACAAACAACTATTACAAAACCATCTAGTCATCTATCTCTGAGGCAAGGCTGTCTCCAAGAGCTTTTCAGGAGGCACTTTCAAAGACAGAGCAGTAGAACTCTTACACCCATCTTAAGTGACACCACTCAATACTTTATAGAACAGCTCATATGCAGATACACAGCTGAAGGGATCTAGTCCTTTCCCCTGAATTTATTTTATACCCTCATCTTTTGCTAAGGGAGTAGGCATTGCTTAGTAAGATCAGCAGACACTGAAGCAAGTGAGTTGATTCTAGTTCAGTCTGACTCCACATGAACCATTTCATTCTGCATTTTTAATTGATTTTTCATTATGTAATTCATTTTGTCATCAGCAGTTACCAGAACCTAAAGCTATGAATTCACAGTTGCCAGCAGGTAAACATGGAAGTTTCACTCCTGCTGCCCTGACCTTTGCATGTTTATTACTGTCATTTCAAAGCTTCTCACCATTTCTTTTTAGTAAGAGCTGCTTTCAGTGCTGTACTGTCTCCACATTAGCATAGTTTGATACGAATGTGCCGAAGAAGTAAAACCAGGTCAGCATAGACTGGGTAGGTGGTTTTACTGGAGACAGTAGCAACAGAGCACTTGATCCCTTTTCATTCTGTCACGTGCACTTGACCTCAGCAGTCTAACACAAGGGAAAGCACAGTCAGTAGGGAGGGCAGCTGTGCTCAACAGCAGCACACTCATGCCAGAGCAAAGCGAACCCAGGCTTTTAATCCAGAGGTACAGAAAGGTAGCCCCAGAGCACAGCTGAATAGCCAGGGGTTGGACACATCACTTCTGAGCTTCATTCAGCCTCAAGAAGCTTGTGGTCTTTGACTCAGGTGTAGTTAAGATCAATCAGTGAGCTTAGAAGCTATACCACAGTCTTCAGCTCCTCAGGAGCACAGAGCTAAAACACTGAAGCCACTTTGAAGGCACAAGACATGCAGATGAAGGGACTACATTTACATGGTCACATACCAGTCCTAGAGATACAAGTGCATGAAGTTTATTTCAGGGGAAGCTGCCATTGACACCCAAGTCTTACCCCAAAGGATTGAGCTTTTAAAAATTCTAGTTTCAGCTAGAGCACTTTCACCAAAGAGAGCAGTGATGCTGCTCAGCGAGACAAACATCGATCTTTGTCCAGTCTAGTTCCTTGCACACTATATAGCAACAACTCCACAGCTAGGCAACTCATCCAGAAGCCTTTTGCAGTCACATTTCTACTTCAAGTTTATTTGTAAAAAAAAACCACACCATACTAAT